AAAAAAAAAAAAATACAAAGAAAATTAAAAATTTATATAATCTTGACAAAATTTTTAAATTTCGAAACTTTAATTAAAATTAGAATAATGATATCTACATAATACGATAATAATAAAGAGAGAGAAAATACGAATCCTAACCTCATCATAAACATAAATATAGTATGCAGTTACACAATAACGCAAAAATCGAAATAACGTGTGCAAAGAGTTTAATAAGTATATCTGCGTGTTCGGTATATGAGACAACAAAATTTCATTGTACAACCAAGTCCCACGCCCAACAAGAACGCCAGGTTGCGTGTAATTGAAAAAGTTAATTGCCAGTTCACCGAGAAGGGACGTAAACTTCGCCCAAGTGCGATATTTAATATTTTCTCGATGGTTGAGCTGAAACGTGCTCGTTCGTAACTTCGAAACATTTGTGCTGCGAGATTTTTGCCTTAGTCATGGTGGAGAAAAGGATATTAACGAATTGCATTGGGTAAAAATATTTAATTGTTTATTAAAGGTGTCTGCAAAAATGTAGAAAACGAACCTGACGGTGTTGTTAAGGAGAAGATTGGTTATGGTATCTTATATTATACGATACGTAAAGAAAAGGTAATGAAACATGTCATATAAGAAGATTAATGAATGAATTTGTGTAAAAAAAAAGAAGCAACTTGGCTATTACACCACGTGTTTGAAATTTTTTAAAAAATTTCAAGAATTTGATTGATTCAAAAAATCTAAATTGTGTATATTTTATGTGTAGATAAATTCAATTTCACGAAATATCTATCGTGTAATCATGAAAATTTTTGCCTTTCTTTTTACATTTTTACATTTTAAGGTTATGTATAACTTTCAATTACTTTTACATAATTTTCAATAAGATTGAAACAATAGATGATCTTTAATTGATTAGATCTTCGATTGATGATCAAAAATAATTTTCAAAAATGTTAATTTTGCTTCAAGTACTTGAATAAATAGCTATAAAATGTATTTACGATACTCGATATACATTATTCACATATTAATAATGGTATTGATTGGTATTGAATAATTTCAAATTAAACAATTTATAATTGCAATAATTTTCATGATTCTTTGATAATGAATATATTTGTAACCAAATTCTTGGAAAGAATCTGTTATTTATGTAATCTCTAAAGATTTTAAAGATATTAATATGTATTTTTACAACAAACCTCAATCTTAATTATCCACAGTTGTAACAGCTTCATAAGCAACAAGATATTTAGTGTAATTGTTGATAAAGGGATGAGTAGCACTTAAAAAAAGTTTTTACTTTCTCTCGTTGATTCGGCATCTTCTTGCTCGTAACGAATCGTTGAAAGAATTTCACTTCATTTCACATCGTACACGACTAAGGTTAGATCAGAAATCGATTAATCCGACACGATCGAAAAAAATTAAATTTTCTTAGAAGTGGTGCGTTCAACACGACCCCGAGAGGCTACGATAAACGAACAAAACGATTGTGTAACGTATAAATTATTTAAGAAATTTTATCGCGAAATCACGTAATGGCGGATCATAAATAATACGCGCGAAAATACGGGCGTAGCCATAAAAATTGCGCATGCGCCCGTGCCATGATTGCGCGCGCAACCGGAATCTATTCCTTTTGCCTAATCGCGCATGCTCGTTTATCATTTACTAGTATGCCATATAAAACAAATATGGCTTGTCACGTTCCTTTAACCGCGCGATTCGTTCATCATGAATTCGCTGTCGTTTCTGCGTACAACGTTCGTTCCAATATACTGACCGGTTCGACACGCCGATGCGCATCGAGGATATACGAATCAACGATTTACTTTAATTAATTTCGATCGATCTAGTGAGACGAACGGTTCGCTTATCGTTCAATGGCCTTCGCGTCTTTCCTCATTTTGCTTTGTGTTACGTTTGTTGTGATTGACATTGCGATGTGAGTGGAAAGAGTTGAAGAGAATGATAGCATTATCAGTGGTGAATTACAGTATCTCTTAAAGATTTATTTGTCAAATAAGTCTTGTAGTATGTGTGTATATGTGATTCTTCTCTACGACATTTTTTTCACGTCTAACGGAAAGACTCCATATTGAAAAATTTGAAATCCTCCTGATTCCATATAAACTTCACTTCAATTTCTACAAATTGGTAAGATGCTTTTATAATTCAAATGATTTTCTTATAATTCAATGATTAATTTTCAAATAAAAAAT